ACCCCCCCCCCCCCCCCCCCCTTTTCCTGCAGCCAGTCCACCCACCTGCTATGGGTTATTGTCTAGCCGCCCCTCTCTACACCGCAAGTGCCTCTAGCATTTGATACTTGCTAGCTAACCACACCCACATCTCCTACCTGTTGTCGTCAACCCTTTTTGCCACCCTGATTCCTCTCGTTTCCACTCATCCAACTGCAACCCACTCGTACCGTCTCCTACCCAGGGTGTCTTCGGTATTGGTGCTGCAATTTTTTTTTTTTTGTTTTTAAAAGTTTTTGTTGTATTCCTTTTGAATTTTAGCAATCATATTTTCATTTCTATTATAGTTTGGGATAACTCTGATATCAATTAGTATCATAGACAACCTAATCCTACTTCTATCCTAGGTTTCCTAGCCATCCGCCTCTATCCAAGCCACATCCACCAAAAAGTTTCCATCATATCCTCAAATACCTCTTCCAATTCCCAAACACTAGCCATATACCACCAAGGAGACATAAGCCAAAGCCTACCAGGGAAGAAATATAATGAGAGATCCGTTTACTACAACAGAGGCTCAGCGAGATTGATGACAGGACTTGAAGGGAAATTACCCTCGATCGTCATAGAGAGAGTCGAAGAAGATAAAAGGATGAGAATTAGAACCCCTTCCATAGGGAGGACTTCAATGATGAGGTGGACATGCCCCGTTATTTCAAATTCAGTATCAGTGGAGGTCAAGAGAGGAGGCAACAAATGGAGTACACAGAGATTTCATAATAAAGGTGGACCTACCAGAATTTGATGGAGGTATGGATCCCGGCGATTTCATCGAATAACTACAAATCAATTGAGAGAATCTTCATGAAGAAGTATCAAAGAATAAAAGGGTTAAACTTGCAGCCATCAAGTTGAAAAAGAGTATCTCCCTGTGGTGGAAAAATTTGCATAAGCAAAGAAAGAGAGAGGAGAGTGAAAAAATTATCAAGTGAAGAAGGTGAGGAAGGGAATGCATGGAAAATACCTACCGCCTCATTACTGTTTGGTTATGTTTCGGTGACCCCGCTACTTGCAGTAGAGAGACTGGTCAGTGGAGTTCATGACAAAATTTAACCAGTTGCAGATAAAGTGTGAGTTGGTAAAACCAGATGAACAAACCATAGATCAATATCTGGGAGGCTTGAAGCCAGCTATCAACAACATTGTGCAGCAGCAACCTTAATGGTCATTGAGGAATGTCCAGACCTTAGCATTAAAGGGGGAGAGACAACACAAACAAAGCGGACAATCACCACCAGTCAGACAACCACATGCAGTTGGAGACATAAGTAGAAGCACGCCTAGGGAGTTGAGTAGACTGGTCGGGATAATGACAAAGTAAGAAGTCTGAGAAGAGTAACACGCCCACTAGAGCCCCAGCTAAAAAATGCTTCAGATGTCATGAATTTGGGCACATCACTTCCAATTGCCTGACAAGCCGAGTTGTATCTTTTACTGAATTGGGTGTAGTGGAGGAAGTTAGCGATGAAGAGGCGGCTGAAGAAAAGGGTGAGGTGTACTATCTTTAACCAGATGAGGGTGAGATCTGACTGGTCTTACATACTAAGGATATAGGAAGCCACAATAGCTTTGTCGCAATACACCCGTTGCATAGTGAACGGAAGGGTAAGCAGGAGCAGCAAGAATGTGGCGTCTACACAGATGGTGGAGAAATTGAGCCTCATGACTCAGACGCATTCTCAATTGTCTTCTCTGACATGATTGAAGGAGAACAGGGTTAGCATTGATAGAAGATGCCTAATAGAGTTTTTTATTAGAAACCAGCTGCAGGATCAGGTGTGACACGATGTGGTGCTCATAAATATCTATCACCTTTTATTGGATAAATTGTGGCAATTTGACCGTAGGGCGTAGCATGATGGGTTCAAGAACACTTAGCCTTTCACCAATGATAGTAAGCGCATCATCCTTCTACCTTATGCGGAGGTGCCCTTACCAACAGAGAAGTGTCGGTAAGATCAATTTTGGTGATGATGAATGATAGGACTGAAATGTCGATTCCATGCATGGGACAGTCACGAAAAAAAGCTTTTTAGAACATCACAATTGATACCTTACTTCCATTGCCACCACCGTTCGAGGAGGATCATGTTACCCTTACTTCAGAACAAGTTGAGTCAATCTTGGGTTATTTTAGGATAATTCAGCATAATATATGTGAGAGGAAGTCCCAATTTAGTTCAGTAGTGTATCCTCATAAGGGTGGATCAATATGGATGAATGCTTGCAAGCGGAGAACTCCTCTGATGTTTTGGGAGACAGTGCAACCGACAGTGGGATCCAGGTGTTGCTAGAGCCGC